TGCGATGATGGGCTCGAGTATAGCAGGGATTGTGGGGCTGGTGCGGGATCGGGCAGTGTTTCGTTCTGCTGTGCATGGGGTCGCTATGAGTCGGAAGCGACTCGACGGCACTTAACAACAACAACAACAACAATGCAGATGACCCAGCTTGGCTTGGTGAAAGTGAAGGTGATTTGAAGTCCTTACTGATGAAGATCAAATATTACAGTGTTCACTATGGATTACACCTCAACTTAAAGAAAACAAAACTTCTCACAACTGGACCAATAAGCTACATCATGAAAAAGAGAAAAAATTGAACTTGTCAGGGATTTTATTTTACTTGGATCCACAATCAACACCCATGGAAGTAGCAGTCAAGAATCAGTCATCTTATTGCACTGGGAAAATCTGCTGCAAAAGACTTCTTTAAAGTGTTGAAGAGCAAAAATGTCAATTGAAGACTAGGGTGCACCTAACCTAAGCCATGTTATTTTCAATTACCTCCTATGCATGTGAGAGCTAGACAGTGAATAAAGAAGACTGAAGAAGAGTTGATGTGTTTGACTTGTGATGTCATGAAGAATACTGAAAATACCTTCGACTGCCAGAAGAACAAACAAATCTGTCCTGGAGGAAGTGCAACTGGAATGCTCCTTGGAAGGGAGAATGGCCAGACTTCACCTCATGTACTTTGGTCATGTTGTCAGAAGGGACCATTTCCTGGAGAAGGATATCATGCTTCATAAAATTGAGGGTTAGAGAAAAAAGGGAAGACCTTTAACAAGATGAATTGACACAGTGGCTGTAATGATGGACTCAAGCATAGCAGGGATTGTGTGGATGGCACAAGGCTGGGCAGTGTTTCATGCTGTTCCCCATAGGGTTGCTATGAGTTAGAATCAACAGCACCTACAACAAAAACAACATGTCTGTTTGCTTTGCCCTGATTTGTTTTGCTGTGATATGTCTAGATAGGAAAAATAGGCATGCTACTCTGGTGACTAGTTTGGAAGCACCGGGGTGCTCACCACCTGTCACCACCTGTCTCTGCGTGAGTGGTGGCAGCTGGGAATGTGAGCAAGGTCTTGTGGAACAGCTGAGGACAGGCTGGGTGGGCTTTGGCTGTCATCTGTCATTGAGCCAGTGGTGTTGGAGTAGGTAGTGGTATTCACTGAGTGGTTAGGGCAGCAAGTATAGTGGATGTGGCAGGGAAATGTGGGGTTTGGTTTCTGCCACTCATCATGTATGAAAGCAGAGTGTGGCAGGGGTTGGGATGGGTGATGGGTGGATGTGCACGTGGTTGTGCAGTCCCTGTCACTCAATGGGTATGTGGGTGGGTGGGAGCAGGTTGATGATGAGTGGCCACACAGGTGGTTGCACGATTGCTAAGGAGCAGCACTGCAGTGGCCGGGAGCATACATCTCCAGTCGCTGTGGTGGCACAGCTACATGCGATCTGCAGGAACACATACCCCCAGCTGTCGGGGTACTGGGATGGTGGCAGACATGACTGCATGCTGCCAGTCACCAAGTTGGTGGGCAGTGGGTGCATTATATGCAATCCACATGAGTATTTGCCTGCAGTCACCAGGGGAGAGGAGTAGTGTCAGGCACCAGTGATTCCCACCAATCATTGAGGTGGCAAGTCCACACCTCTGGCTGCCAAGGGAGCCAGGAGGCAGTGGGCATGAGTATGTGCCACTTGTCACCTGGACAGCGTGGGGTGGTGCACAGTGCACAATCTGCTGGAGTGCATGCCAATAGTTTCCTGGGAGAATGGAGTGGTGGGGGCTGTAGGGAAGGAGAGATGGGCCCTGGTGGACCTCCAGGCAGGGGAGTGGGGGCAGAGAGGGTGTCACCAGTCAACCAGGTAGGCTGGGATAGAGGTCCATACTTGGTCACCAGGATGGTGGTGGGGAGAGAGGAGTGCATACTCCTCTACTGGCTGGTAACCAGCTTGGGCAGCAGCACACCCCAGGGCAAGTGCAATCAGCTATCAATTCCCTGCCCCAACCCATTGTGGCTGTGGGGATGCTGTCTGGAGTCCAGTAACTCTAGCTGTCACTCCATGGACCCTTCCATTTCTGTGGGTCTTCAACCCTAACCACCAGGGACTGATGCTGGTGACTGATTCTGTCCCTATTTCCTGGCTCCCTTCCTGCTCTGTGGTCACCTAGAACCCTTGAGTTCTTGACTACCTTCTTGTATTTCCCTTTCTTAAATCTGGTTCATGTTCTGCTCACCTTGCTTCTCTTCAGATTTGTCTGCACTGTGTCTCTGTCCTGTTGGGGATTCCGTGCAGTTGCCTTCCTACGATCCTCACTGGGAATGTTACTTACTTTATCTCAAGGTGGCTGTGTTGTGATGAGCTGGCTGACATGGTATCTCCAGTCTGTATCTCTCCTCATTGGCTGTTTTCCTTCAGTTTTTTCTGAGTTATTGGTGTTTGATTTAGTTTTTATCCTTTCATTTGATGCTCAGGGTTCTAGGATTAGCATCTGTATCTGTTTTACTTGGTTTCTTGGGTCTTTGGTGTAAAGGAACAGTGTGGTCTGTCTGGCTAGGTCACTGTCTTAGCACCATACCCTTAAGTTTAAGAATTTTTAAGTCATTGCAGAGAATCTGAGGTGTTTAGTGAAGTCTGAGTTTAATGTCCTTTGTGATTTTGGCACTTATATTAAGCAGCTTATGCTTCCTTTATCTTAACTCCTTTAGGAACGATAAATACCATTTATATAGCTAGTCCAGATTTTTTAGTAGTTTGTGTTTTTAAAGTGTCTCACATAGAAAACACCAAAATTGGCTCCTAAATTCGAGTTGCATAATCTTCTTCCTCAGATACCTTTAGAACAAGATATATGTACCATAATTTAGTCTTGGAATTACTTGAATCTATTTCTAAAGCTGAATCACTGGATGATTCTAAAAGAATTACTGATGTGCTTTGATCATCATTCTTGGGATAATAAATGGCTGCTGCTGCCACTAAAGGATCCCCTCATTTCTTACCTTCTTTATATTTTGATTAGTAGAGTAAGACATAACTGTTTTGTAATCTATCTAGTGAAGTGAACAAAATATGATGGCTTTCAGCCAACCCTAGTGCCTGGAAAATAGTGGAAACCCACTAAATAGCCATCCAGTTTAAAAGGCAGTAGGAACCAGAGCTTGATTGTCTATGGGAATATGATGTTCAAATATGTGCCCCCCCAAATCATGGCTGTGTGAACAAGAGAGATAAGAACAACAAAATTAATAAGAAAGTATATTGAAAACATGGATTAAAACAGAGACTGTCATTAATTTGAAATTGTTTGGCTGCTACTACATTTTTAATGCTCTATATTGCAAGAATGAATCTGGGGTAAAATAACTAACACTAAAACCAATGTCAACCTATATTTTCTTTCAGATTTACCAAAAATTTATCTCCTGACAAGATAAATCTGAGTACCCTAAAAGGAGAAGGTGAACTAAAAAATTTGGAGTTGGATGAAGAGGTGCTCCAGAGTATGTTGGATTTGCCAACATGGCTTGCTATCAACAAAGTTTTTTGTAACAAAGCATCCATTAGGGTGAGACTTCAAAATTTGTGGAAGGCCTTTTCTATTTTCACTTTTTTATTTCATCCTTATTTTTCAGAATAAATATTTTGTTTTAGAAGATTTTATAAAGAATGATTTTTATTAATAAAATTTGAAAAACTACAGTTGCATAAGTAGTTCCATGAATGTATGCCTTAGAACTTAATTGTTAACTCATAAATTTATTAATTTTAAATTTCATTTGGCATTTAGTTTTATTAAAATTTAAATAAAATTATTAGTTACTAATTATAATATCATTGCTCAACTTCGCATATTTTCAAAGATAGCTGTCAAATGGGCCAAATAAAATTTTGTTATAAATAAACACTTTATTTCAAGTGAAGACATAAGAACTGATAGGTTATTATTTCTCTACACTTTATTTGGAATTTTATCCCTACATTTGTTTCTTCCTCATTTTGAAGATTTTTTTTAAGTTTCCTGTTTTTATTTGCTTTAATGACTTCTATTTTATTTGAGGATATTAATTAGCTCCACTCAGAGCTGTTTGATCATTTTTGAACTTCATGTGGTCTCTCAAAGCCTCATTTAGCAATCTGGTTGGATTCAGGTAAAGGATAGACTTCTTGGATTCTTACTATTATTTCTTCTCCTTATTATTATTATTATTATTTCTAATTATTATAACATGTTATTCCTGTTTCTTGTTGTCTGTAATAGTATTTTGATTTGTATTTCTTCTTGCCCTTATAAACCAGGTTTAGTTTGAATGTCTGCTCATTAGAAACACTGCATACTAATTTGTTTAATAAAATTTGGGCTCCAAAGAAAAGAATGTGGAAAGATATCTGCCCCTTGGATGGCAAAATAAGTAAGATTGTCCAAGAGAAGACTACCTTTAACTCTTACCCTATCCTCCATAAACCCCTATATCTATAAAGACATGTGACATTTTTAGTGCAGGCTTTGTTTGAAAATGACATATTTGATATCGCCTACATTTTACATCAATGGCCTCATTTTTATATTTGTCTTTAATCAATATGAAAAGATTGACCAGAATTCTAGTGTTAAATTGTTAAATCAAAAGAATACTGATTATGCTTTTCTGGGAAGTTTTAAAATTATGAAATTGAAATGAATTTAAAGATTGGGGGACAAAGGTATTTAAAGGAATCTGTCGTTCCTGTTTGATAAGATGGCTTAGAAAATACAACTAGTTATATATATATATATATATATATATGTTGTTGTTGTTATGTGCCATCAAGTCAGCCCTGACTCATAACGACCCCTCCTTGGGTTTCC